TTCGACATGGTTTAGGGTTTAGGGTTTGCTAGAGAGATTACGACTGTGCGGGGTTATGGGGGCTACAATGAGGATGCCTTCCGCCATTCAAGATTGCGCATGAGTAGCCCAGAGAGCCCAATACCCATCTTAATTAAGGAACATAGCCTTTGTGGTACTAGGTTCCCGAATATGATTTAAGCTACATTCCTTACTTAAGGGGTATTGGGCTCCCTGGGAACACTTGGAGGGCTTGCCAGCCTGCGCACTTAGCCCAAAAAAATAGGCGCATATCCGACATGTCATTGCTATCTTCCTATTGTCATGACATGAGTGACGGAATTCGTTGGTTTGGAGAAATGCAGAAGCCCGAATTCTCACCGGAGGTCATTCTCTCATAGCCCTTATACAACTGTACAATGTACTATAACAGACGCTAAACGCCTATGCGAATGAAAGAGGCCCCTGCACACAATCCAAGTGAGCACTTCTATAAACTCGGTTGTCATTTGTGCTTCCATCACATGTTCCATTGTCGTTTGGAATTCTAAGCCCTGAACCCTGAACCTGAACCGAATCCTCTTGCTGGTTGTAAGTGCATGGAGTGAAGGAGTGCATCCCTGTAGCCCTCATGTATCTCCATGATAGTTTCCATCTTCTTTTTGATTGTCCTATATGTCCCCATATGACATGTTTCCATGTCATTTCAGCTTGACATTCATTATAGATTATAGTAGTTTCCATTTTCTTGTCCATGCCTTCATTCCCTACTAGCAACCCGCAAGTCAGCTCTAGACGCTACACCCTACATACCCTGCAAACCTCAGCATTATTCATTGGCTTTTTCCATTTGATTTTCCAGTAGTGGGATACGAATCCAATAAAACCCTCCAACTGAACCCTACACCCTCAACTGGTCAGTCTTGGAGGATGGGACGACCTTCACACTTACGTGGTTCGGGAGCTGGTGATGAGTGCCGGCGAGCGGGGCTGTGCCGGGACCTCAGACCAGGTTGCTGTAGTCCATGATCCAGGACCCTCCAGGAGGGTTATACGGCACCTGATTGTGACTAACAATGGGTAGCCAGGCCTAAATTCAGGGTAGTTAGAGTTAGAGGATCTATGATGATTGGGTTGAGGTTAGAGGTAAGACTGTCTGATTTTTGGTCGCAGGTTTAGGGTGCAATTAAGGGGTCTGGTCCCGAGCTTTCGTCCAAAGCATCGATGTACATACCTCCACTCCCGGTTCAATCCTTGGACCCGACATATCCAGGGTAATTGATAAACAAAGGGTTTAGGGTTTAGGGTTTAGGCTTTTAGTATGCACTAGGGTAGGGTTTAGGGTTTAGGGTAAAGAGGCTCCAAATACATACTTTGGGCCCAGGTATATATTGAACAGCTACCCGGACCACTTGGGATAGGGCTCTTACCAGCCATCCGGAAGCCCCAACACAGACAGAGAAGCAAGCTGCTCATCATGAAGGAACATAATCCACGCAGCCTCTGTCTCTTTCCGCTCCAAACCTTGTTCAGCCCGGATACTCTTGAAGAAGCCCAAAATTGGTACCATTCATGGAGTTTGCGGTCGAAAGTAGGTATTCTGCATATACCCACATTTAAAGTTGCAAATAGATACAGAAACAGAGGTTGGGAGAGAGAGGGAGACAGAGAAAGAGAGAGAGAGAGAGAAAGAGAGAGAGACCGAGACAGAGAGAGAGAGAGAGAGAGCAAAGAGAGATAGACACAGAAAGCTGGCCGGTATTTGCTAATCGCAAGGCATCCTCGCACATACGGGCATGGCGACACTGCCTGGACGTCTGCAGCCAGGGCCTTACTAGTTGCATCATTGGGAAAACCCAAGTCAGACACCATAACGTAGAACCAAATCGAAAATGACAACTAGGACAGCTTTGTGACTTTTATGTGGTTTAGGAAAACTCAAGTTGTGACCAAGCACCAGAACATACAATATTGGTGTTCAGTGATGTGTCTACCTCGTTGGGATGTGGCGGGGTTTCTTCACATCCTGCCGGGTGCGCACATCGCAGCTGCTTGCTCGGGATAGTGGAAACAGTAACTGCGATGTAGGTGTGAGAGAAGTAAGAGAATTGAGACTTATTGAGACTTTTGGGTAGTACTAACCCACACCCCGCATGGCATGTTGCAGAAGTGTCATCTAGAGCCAGTGCCGGCTAATGTGATTGTACAGCCAAAGTCACAGGGATTTGTGCTGACGCCTAAGGGAGAGCGAGAGGCAAGTGTAATTTAGTATATACAGCAGGGTTTAGGGTTCAGGGCGCGCTGCCCCCCTGCGGATTAAGCATCAGTCGGGAATGATCTACCCTAAAACCTAAACTCTTAAGCTGAGAGCCTAAACCCTAGGAGGTCACAGGGTAGTCAGCATCACCCCAAATAGTCGAAGCTTGTGTCCGGCAGAAGCTCCCGAGAGGGAGATGCTCTGTATGAGACCTGTAAATGATCCATGCTCCAGTATATACTACAACAAACTACAAAATACTATGATAAATTAGAACCTACTACAATATACTATAATGTGACTCAGGCCCTGAAGCTTAAACCTCCAATCCTGTCCAATCCTTCATCCAGGTCCCTCGCAGCCCCTGATGGCCTGGATCTCGGTGCTTGCACTGTTGTCGTTATGGCTGTGGCGGGTCTTTGTACACTTGCCATTTGCATCCATAAGACGTGTGCCCTAACCTTAAACCCTAAACCCCTAACCCTGAGCCATGGCTTTGTGCAGCAGGGTTTGGAGCCTGGTGTCTGGGAAAGCCTGTCCACAAGGTTTTCGAAGATGATGCGGTTCCCACCCAGGAATTCACAGAGGCACGTGAGACCATGGGCGTGCCTGCCTTCATGTTACATTGATATTTAAGGTTATGTGTGGGTGAGCTTCTTCCAAGTAGAGGCCCTTTTTGCGGCTTCGCTATAGTAAGAAGAACATGCGGGGGCGGTGACCCCAGGAAGTATTTCTATCAGGGGGTAAAGAACAATGGTAGTCTCCTACTTTTTGTCAGCTCCCCCGCGATTCCTTGCAGCACAGGACATGCTCTCATCACTATGTTGATTCAAATGTCTGATCTGCATGTCTCCGCCGGATGAGCACGGCATGGACAAAACCCCATGATGATGGTGATGATGATGATGATGGTGATAATCAGTTTGTCATGATTTGCTCCAAGTGCTCAGAATTTCAGGGATGCAGAGGTGAACACTCGGGGGCATACCCATCCCCATCCTCTAAAAACTCCGTCAGAAGTACAACACAAGATTCTGGAAACAAAGCAAAAGCAAATCGTGCTCTAGATATCCCAGCTTGTCCAGCGACCCAAAGAGAATGGATGTGCAGGGTTTGCATTGTCCGTGATAGTACACCCAGCCTAAAATGCACATATTCCGCTGACATGTCCATCCCATGTATGCATATGGGGAATGTACAACCCATAGGAGATTCTACACTACAGCGTAGAATGTACTCCTAAAACTTGAAACCCCTATTCAGCCGTGAGCGGCACCCGAGCAGTGTGGATAGCCATGGTTTCAAATCCTAGGAAGCCAGTGACGCAAGAGTCCGGAGGGTACAAGTCTTAGACTCAGACGAAGAGCAACGAGCCAGTATCATGAGACACCTGCAGGACAACAGAAATTCCAGAAGCGATGCAAAAAAGGCCGCACCAAAGCACGACATGAAGACACGACAGGAGGACATGATGTCAGGCAGAACGTGATACACAAATGAAAGCACGACATGAAGACGGCCCGAGGACACAACACGAGACGTGACCCGAGGACGTAAGAGTATAGACACGTTACGGGAGGACACGGAAACAAGGCACGCAAGATAAACGCAAGGACACACTACGGGAAAGCGTACGAGAGCCACAACCCGCCCCATCCTTGCGTCGACACATGAACACTCGCGAACGCTTGCAAGCGCTTGCCGAACACCTGGCATTCCGCCTGCCCACCTCCAGCCATTAACCCCCGAGCCGAGCCCCCAACACTTAGAACGTCTTAGAGCAAGAGCCCTTCTGCAACTGTCCCAAAGGGTCCATGTTCATTTATAGTATTATAGAGCCTAAATATATACGATATATCTACATGGGCCCTTTCGGTGTGTACAGGGAGATCATAATTCCATGGCCCAGCCTTGGGAAGGTTTTTTCGAGAGCCCTGGCTTCGCTACCGCGCGATGCGGACGTGCTGTACCTGGGCTACTCGCAGGTGGGGGTGGATCTGGGTGTGGGGCCCTGTGGGGTTTAGGGTTTATGGGGTGTAGGGTAGGATTCGGGCCGTAGAGGGTTTGGGTTTTGGAGAGGGAGGGTGTTGCAGTTCGGCCATTCTGGAAGATGGAATGGCCCTATATGTCTCAAACCCTGCAGTCCCAGTTGTATGGTTCCTTTAAACAAAGAGAGCATTTCATGTTGCCCTAAGGGTCCAAGTACCTAATAATCATAGACTTACCCAAAACCTGTACCATAATTACTATTACCCAAAACCCAAGTACCCAATTATTTGGTACATGGACCCTCTGGGTTGTGGTATTGGTGCTCAATCTTCCCCCAAGCCCCTGGATACAGTATGCAGAGCAATCATGATCCTGCAAGGCTGAAAAACCCGAACCATTACGCCTCAACCAAGGAAGGGCTGCATTCTTGTCGGCCACTGTTACATGGGGGGGGGGGTGGGTCCAAACATGGGGGGGGGGAGGGTTCCCTAAGTTAGCCGTACTGCGGTATACTGTAGTCCTAAACATTGGGCGCTCCCACATGAGTGGGCTGAATGTTAGGGCGTTATGGTTGCAGGGGGGGAATGATGCTGAACCGGTTTGCGACATTAAAGTTCTGCATGATGTCATTTATGTCACATGGCTCTGGTCTCAAAGCTATGACGTCAGCTGTTCATCATGCCATCATGCTAGAGGCACCGCAGACAAGCTGCCCATAGTTTATTTGCGACATCTTCAGAATCTTCAGAACCCAATGGTATAGATGGACGCTAATGCTAAACCGAGCATACCCCGAAGGCAAGCGGGGCCTTGCATGCCTGCAGCTCTTCAGTGTGGTTTGTCCAGTCAAATCTTGAGCATATATAATTAATTCTGAAACTAATTTATGCAACCCAGCTACTCCTTATACATCTCGAGTCATCGAGACACGACCGGAAACCCTGGAACAAGGGGACCTGAATCTGGGGAGCCTTCTCGCAGCCAACCCAGACCCGAAACCTACCTCGACCCTCATGTAGTCCCTGTTCTTGTTTGTTTGGTGCTCTGGTAAGATCTTTCTGCCAGCGCTCCCCAAAAGTACTGAAGCCATAGGCTTTAGCAGCAACCCTAAACCCTATACCCTGAACTGTAAACCTTCGGCAAGAACAGCCACTGCCTAGGTAAGGACTGGTCTACCAGAAGTGGCTGCTTTGAAACACATGTTTTTTGGTTGCTAGGATCCTCAAAACGCCTAAACCCTAAAAACCCCAAATATCCTCACTAGATAGTAGTTTCCATTTTATTTCCCATTAGCCCAATCTATTTTTTTTTTTACTTCTGATCCCTGAGCTCCTGAAATCATGACAGGCAGCCGAGTGGCGGCAGCACGTCTCTGCAGAGTTGGTGGAGGCCTTCAGAGTAAGTTCTGCCAGAAAGCATCCCAACCGCCCTACCCTCTTGTTATCCAACACTGCCCAGTGTTGGATTTCAATACACTAATGGAGCTACGTAGCTCACACAAAGGTGGAGTGTGTTGCAATCGGAAGAGTTTGCTGGCAGCCCCAGCAATTCCCGAAAGATGCGGATACTCATATAGGGTTCAGGGTACGAGGACGACTTGCTAATGAAGTGGCCGTCGAGTACTGTTTTCAGTTCTGTGTTAATGGAAACTCCACAGATTATTAGGGTATATACTTACATATTATATACATTCTATATATATATATATGTACATGATTACCCTATATTAACCCCATTTTAGTAGTTTCCAATTCATTTTCCATTATCCCAATAGAACCCCAATATAATACATGACTGGCTTCCCCAGCTCGTTCGAGAGCTGAACTGAAGCCTACCGCCTTGGGTCCCAAACTGACGAGAAGCCTTGAACACCTCTATAGTCTCCCTTAAGTAGATAGAATATGGCTTTGGGTATATCATAATAAGATCCCCATATACCCCATATTCTATCTACTTAAGGTGGACTATAAGCCATGAAATGTCGTCCTCCACCTCCTGCAACAGGCGGAGTATGTGTGGACCACTGTTGCGTGCGCCTGCAATGATCTCTAAAGTGGCTTCTCATGACACGATTTAAGGTTTGGGGTGTAGGCTTACAAGACTCTCAGACGACGTTTCACATCGGTAGTTGTAAGTGGGGAAGCCTCCCACCATCATGCTGTGCCGCTCCATGCATCTTGCAACGCTACAGTCAGGGTTTCGGCAAATTAGGATCCCATTTGTGGGGACCAACCAATAAAGATAGTATGCATTGGAGTATATATTGGGCCCGCTTGTTCATTGTTGAACCCCGCGTACAGATGGTGCTCAACTTGCAATGGGTTCGTGGAGCACAGGGAAGTATGACAGGCATGGCGTGCATGGGTGATCTGGTTGGGGTTGATGAGCAGTAGGATTGCAGAGGCCTTGGGTGTAGTTCATTTCGTGTTAGCAGGGAGTGAAGATGGCAAAGGACAGGGATTTCTGGGATCAGGATCTCTCCGTGTGAGGTTGCAGTGACAATGCTTGAGGGCTTACGCCCGAGCCAGGTCTTCGACATGAAAACTCATGTAGTATCAGTGATCATATACAAATTGCTGTCAGAATCTATTCCTTGATTTTTGCCGGCCCTAAACCCTAAACCCTAAACCGCGTGGTAAGATTACCCAAAAATCAGGTTCCCTGCCCCTTTTCTTCCGGAAGATCTTGATGGATCCTTATAGTAATCCATATATAACCCATTGTAACAGTTTCCATTTTTCCACTATCCTTATATAACCCCTATAAACGCCCTCTATACCCCTATATAATCTTAAGGGAAAGAAAGCCAGGGGCCTGCCCTTACTTTTAGGGTTGAGGATTTAGGGTCATATTGGGGTTATGTTGGGATAATGGAAAAGAAAATGAACACTACTGTTTAGGCTTTAGGGTTTAGGATTTAAGTTTTATGGTTTAGGGTGTAGGGTTTAAGGTTCAGGGTTGAGGGTACGCTCAGCAGAAGGGCCTCTAACCCCGAAATAATGGGCACATAGGCTGTCATTATGGATGTTACGGAGGCCCACACTAAGGCTTTAACAGCCCAAAAGGGCTGCTCAAGGTTGCAAGAATCCTTCTCCCGCGCCCCATCGCCTTCCTTGAGAAAGAGTTGCGTACTTGCCAGTGTTCACCAGGTACATGGTTTGGCCCGAAGGAGCACGCAAATTGCTGTCCAAGCCACTGGGAGAGAATGTCAGCATAGTCATTAATCGAGGTTGCTGCTTTAACACATGTAAAGCCCAGTTTGGGGCCAGGGGGTCTCGCCCTCACTAACCAGAATGATACGAACTTACCTAGTTGAAGACCCAACACTGTCGACTTAAGAGTAAATACCAATCTTGTTGCCTAACCTCAACTAAATGCCACTCTTCCGCGTTCAGGCTCCCACAGTACTCACAACACAGCTCCGTCGCTAGGCCTTCGTGAGTCCTACCGCAAGGTTCACCAGGAGTGTCTAGAATAAGTGTGGTCAGTACTCCAGATGAGGTTTCCACCAGCTATAGCTGTTGCGATCCCATATACCTTGTAGGAACCCTTGCGCATGCATGCAGCCGCAGTTGAAGGGAGGCGTCAAAAGAAAACTCGAGAGGGCCGCTCCCGGTGTTTTTCATTATAGTTATATTTGTTGGTCAGTGGCAGAGGGCTCCCTTTGGAATATCGGTGAGTGTACACATGTGGATGTTAAATTGGCCGCAGACCTTACACACAAACCATCATCAGAGGCCATGCAGATAGTCTTGCATGATTCAGGCAATTTGTTCATCATCTGCCTGCTTGGATGATTGCTTGACGGCGCAGGTCTACCTCCTATTATTCCAATAGCCCCTGTTCCTGGGTGGACTTTACTAATTGAAAAGAGCCTCCAAGTACCTAAAGGCCCTAAACCCTAAACCCTAAACTGGACTTTACAAAGTCAACAGCGCCTGCAAGTAAAGTATAACGTTCGCCGTCTTTAAGCCCAAAGCCCGATTACTTCCTGCGGGAGAGGCCAATAGCCCTTAAAATTCACAAATCCTAAGCCCAGTTACGTAGAAACCTGGGTCAAAGTTGCATATAGCCTTCGATTGAAAAATTGTATTGAAGGCCAACAAGGAACATGATTTCATGTGGATTAGTATCAAATGCGGAATCAGAAACCCCTACCCTAAACCCTAAACCCCTAAACGGAATCAGAAACCCCTAAAACATCTTAAACAAGGCTCCCGGTGAACCAGCCCGTGGACAACTTCATGGCAACACTCTGCGCCGACGGAGACATCAAGGCAGCTTTTAAGATGGAGTGTTAGGGGCTTAAGGTTTAGGGTTTAGGGTTTAGGGCTTAAGGTTTATATGGGGGTTTACCAACATTAGGGGTACCTTTTTGGGGTTCCCATAAGAAGGATCATAGTATATTAGGGTGGGGTCCCCCTCTTTTGAGAAAGTACCATATAGGATGAGGTGTTCGCGGTTTAGGGTGTAGGGATTAGTGTCTAGGATCTGGGGCTCAGGGTCTACAATAGGGGTATACCGGGGGATCACATGGGGTGGGGGTTATGAAAAGTCTGCTCGCGCTATATGAGAATTGACCCCAAAAAGGCACCGTACTCATGACAACCTCACATATAACGATACGTAGTTATGGGATACTGGGTCTTGGGTTCACCATTTCATGGCTTAGGGTTCAGCGACCTGAAATTATAGAATATGGATAACCAATTCAAACATCAAACGAAAACTCCGATTCTATAGAGGTTGGAAGGGATTGCACACGGAACCTAGTTTGCTATATGGGCTAGAACTGCTGAAGCCATGCCGGGTTTGTGGCTCCTATATGAACTAAACCTGCGAACAAAGTTGGCGCACCCAAACAACTTGGGATTCTCTCAAAACTACCTCAACAAGTTCCTAGCGGGGTCCCATGATCACTCCACATATTCCCTATAAACCCTAAACCCTATATTCCTAGGGTCCTTAAGAGGCCCTTGGTTTAAGAAGGCCCCCCCCTGCCTTCCCGTGAAGCTGTCGGCCTCCGGATCGCTTGACGGGCCATAAGGCCATTCATAATGCGGTTAGGATATTTGGGCTCCCTTTATGCGAGTTTCCTTAGGAGTCATTTTTCAATTTCATTCTAGAGCAAATCACAGGAATCATTACAGAATAATTGCAATTCAAGGTCTACCGGGGTTACAGTTATGGGAGTCCATAGAAAATACTCAGAATCCTTCAAAGTGTATTCCTGCACACCACAACCGATGGCTGGGCTGGACTTGTACTTGCATCTTTAAGAACATAGCGCAGTCACCCTTTTGGTAGCCCACGGTGCATTTGGCATATCCCTTGTGTTCCATCTTCTTCACTAGAGCAGCATGCCACAAGCCCTAAAGCCTAGCCCTGAAGCCTAGATGGGTGTTTTTGTTTTCCAGAGCATGCTTGCAGTGACGACGCCCACAACTCGTTTGTTCTTGCCACATATCCCTGGGGTTCATGAGGTGGGAAGCCTGGAGTTGAGAACCCTAGGGCCCTAGGGTTTAAGGTTTAGGGCTCTTTAACTTTCAAACCTTTTCTAATATCATTCTAGTAATTCTACGCGTGCAACAATGGATGTATAAACGTGGTAAACGTGCATGTGTATGTGTAAAGAAGTACATTTTCGTATGCCTATGAACATACTGTACTTATGTGTTTATAGCCTGGTGTACTCACTTCCTTTTGTCTATAATCCAAATTCTTAGTATCCCCCTTATTAAGAGCTATAATACTCCCGTATAGAGTCCCTATCTAACCTACCTCTGAGGAGTTAAGACTTTGGCTCTAAACCCTAAACCCTATACAACCCCCTATAGAAGCCCCCCTTAAGGAGTTTAGACTACAGCTCATGCGTCTATAACCGGATTCACGCCAAGGTTCCCTGTTCTCAGAAAATCCACCACTCCTCATACCTTACTGGTGGTAAGTAGGGAATGAGGCATAGTCCCAATATATCATCCCTGTATAAGTATATAGTATACTCCCCTACTCCTTGCTCTAACCCCAATACTTACTCTAATAGAATGTAGTAGTGTCCATGTTCTTTTCACATTCCTTCTATGCCCCACCCTAAACCCCGAAACCTGAAACCCCTAAACCCCATGAACCCCAAGTAAGATACAGGCCTACTGCATGCGGCCAAAGATTGTGCACCAAGCAGATGGGTGGAACGTGGCATTCTCAGACCACAACCTCGCTTTTGTCAGGGGTGTTGAGGTTCAGGGTTTCAGGGTTTAGGGTTGAGGGTTTAGATTGTACCCCTAAGGTCGTACCCCTGGAAGGTGTGCCCAATATGGCCCCAATATAGCCCTTATATGAGCCATGTAGTCCCTTAGGGTTCCTTAAAGGGGTACAAACCTGAAACCCTTGATTTTGAAGATACTGCTTGGGGAGTCAGACGGGAGCCTCGCTTTTGAAGATCTTGTTTAGGGAGTCTTAGAGCTAGTGTCAATATTAGCCTTACCACGGGACCCTTACTAGTGGACATAGGGGTCCCTCTCGTAGTTTAGTATAGTCCCAGTATAATGAGTCCCTATTACGGAACCCACGTCCAGTTGTTATCTGGAGAATATTGACTATAGTTCAATGAAAGTATGGTCAGAAACCCCTCTAAGGGGCCACCAAGACTCATCAAAGAGGGCCTCGAGGCTAAAGAGAGCGCAACAACAGGGATCCCAAGGGGCCCTTCAATTACCCTTACCATGTAGGGACGTTATGTAAGCCTTTTGTATACCCCTTATATAACCACCCACGGTCCCTATATAACCCATTATGTAAACTCCCCCTCTTTGGAAACTAGCCTCCTGTAGCTGGTTTCGAGGAAGGTGCCTCAAACTCTGAAGTAAAAGCCTTTAAAGCCTAATCAAGCTGATTTTACCCAAAGTTTTGGGCTTATCAGGGATCCAGGGTTCAACAATTCAGGGTTTAAGGCTTGGCGGGTCAGTTGAATTTGTTTTGGTTCGGGGTCCTGGGCCTAGGGGGCACTAGTGGTAGGTTCTTGATGTAACACTTTGGTATACTCCCCATGCGTGGGTTAAACTAAGGTAATACAAGGGTCTTACCCCAATAATGGAGAATCAGATGGAAAAGAGACTGGACACGAAATGGCGACCTGATTGCTTTTTACTGCGCCTGAAGCCCCAGCTAGCCACAGCTCTACAGCTTTAACCTACCAATTAGGAGTTACAGTCTACTAAACTGCAGTAGGTCATTGGGGCTACAGCTAAACCCTCCATAAACCCTAAAGCCTAAACCGTTGACTATGGCTGTAGTTCAGGTCAAGTCGGATGTGGGCCACTCGGATGAGGCGCCACCTCCGGGGGCAGTCTCCTGGCTGCAACTCCTTTTGTGGAGCTTAATTAAGCTTCAAGGGTCTGGGGTTTTGTAGGGCGTGAGGGTTTTGGGAGGTTTTCGGACCGAAGCTTTAAGGATGTGAGGTTTTAGGGCGTAGGGTTTCGGGGGTGTAGGGCTTAGGCCTTCGGGAGTGTTGGCTTCGGGTTTTTGCTTTGGGGTATTTGGGAAGCCTCATTGAAAATTCAGGGGATTGGCGACAAGGGTTTAGGTTATAAGGTTTGAGGTTTACTGTTAAGGGCCTATACTTAGGGACTAGGATTCAGGATGTTTGGGTAAGCTTACTATTGTTCATTCTCATAGTCTTCTTGTGGCCAGGATTGTCATGTGAAATTCTTCGGAGGCTTGGAGTGGGAGTTGAGACTATAGCTCATCGCAATATTCTTGAACATCGGGCTGCCCTCAGAAGAATCAGACGAAAAATGCACGAAGACCAGCCAAAAAAAATCCAGCAGGCGACAAGAAGAAGATAGAACAATCCCCCAAAATCCCTGTGAAGAAGTATGTTTGGTTGGTATACGCACAACCCTAAGACCCCTAAAGCCTAAACCCCAAGGGAGTTCTCATGTTTGTCGGGCCAGCCCACATCCGGAGGTTTCTCAGAGTGGCGGTACCATTTGGCAGCTTTCGCAAGCCTACAGATACTCTTGCAGTAGGAAGAGATTGTAGTAAGGCTCCCCGCTTAAGGATCCTATAGGGGTCATGTTCAGGAATTCCCATCTACTTCAGGTGCAGATAACTTTCAAGAACATCTGTGTTTGTTAGCTCATCCTAGACCTCACTTGTACGGGCCTGTATAACAACGAAGTCAGGGGTTAAAGGCTATTATTGCAGCTATCTGAGAGGGGGCCGGATAGTGTTCATTTGAGTCAAGCGAGGTTTTCTGCACGCCTCGGCACCTCCCAGGTTCAGTCTGATGTCTTCCACACGGATGACAAGTACTGGGGAACTGGTCCCACTCTCAGTTGGCCATGAGCTACTGTATGTAGAGATGAGGGTTACCAAGGGCCATTAAGGGTGGACCTGGGATCGCTTTGGTAGTTTAGTATAGTCCTAATATGTAAGGAACCCATGTCCATTAGGTATGTGGGAAGTAATGACTGTATCTCACATGATGTGAAGTGTATATCTGGAGAGCTTGGGGTTCCGGCAGATGTGTTTTCAAACCCGCTTGAAGTCTTGAAGCCTAACCTTGGAGTGATTAAGGGAGAAGCCAAAGATTCTGGCATGTTTCGAGGGTACTGGTAGGGGATTCTCGGGACCCCTGAGGGTACCTATTAAAAACCCCTTAAACCCTAAACCCCTAAGCCCTAAACCCAGAAAGCCTACACCCTAAATTGACCCCAGGATGGGACCAAGTTTTAACCCCGCAAACGAAGCTTTACAGCAAGCAGCTAAGAAATGCGGGGCGACAGCCGCGCAAAGAGCCGGAGGTCCCTTAGGAAACTCGTCCTCCAGGGACGCAACATAGGGATCCATAGGAATATTCCGCCCGAAGAAGGAGAATCAAATGGAAAAGAACATGGAACATGAAAAGCCAGTGGGATTACGTAGCGGGTTTATAGGAACTGGGGTTTCCAAAGACAGGGCTACCTTTTCTGCGGGTGTCCCTGATGATGATCATAGCATTTGGGGGTCTATTCTGGGTCCCCTATTCAATCCAAATTTCCATATACTTCTCAAACTTGGGAACTTGCGGTCCTTCCATTTCTCCCCAGGAAACAAGGGTTATGTGCAGGGAACCGTGGTACTGGTTGATACGGAGACGTACTTGGAGGGTGAGGGGGACTTGGTAAGTAGTTGAACAACAGGGTTCCATGGGGTATAATGAATGGCAGTTTACAAGGGTCAAATGTATACTTGCTGAGTCCCCCGGAGCCTCCAAGTGCCCAAAACCCTAATCCCTAAACCCTACTCCATTGTGTAGTGGAGATCCTTCAAGTGAACTTGCCAAACAGTGAAGGGAGAAACCCAAAGCCTAGCTCCGTCCGTTTCTTCAGGGTTTCTTCTGAAAACATCCATTTGCAATACCCAGAACCTCCAATGTAGTTCTTTTTGGGGTAGTATAGTGTAACCCCTTACCAAAAAGCTAGAACAAGCCCCAAAAGGAACTAAATAGGAGCCTTTGGGTAATGGCAGACCCCTATCGCAAGCGAATGGCCGTTAGACATGGCGAGACATGATCTCGCCTTCTGCTCTTGCTAATCTGCAATTCACCCGAATTCTACCCCCAAGACACGAGATCCTAAGCGCTACGCTCGACCTATTCAAGGTCCGGCCAATCCGCACTTCAATGTATCATTCAGTTTCGGCGCGGATTCGGACATCATCAAGTCAGACGACCGCTACTGGGAGTCGGGTACTTAGCCACCACAATATGGCTAGCCGTTGGTCATAGTTATGATGATATATATAGATACACACATAATTCAACCTATGTTTGCTTTCATTTATTTGTACACTGGTGATCGTGTTAATATCTGTGTGCATGATGAATATGTATGTATGTACTAACTGTACACACTCACCCCTTTCGTTGACGTTAATGTTGTTTCCGATGTTGAGCAGCAATCCCTGTCCTGAACAACAACTCCTCCCACATGGAAATCATGTTGTCAGAGGATCTTGTTTTGAGGGGTTGTTGCGAAGATGGCTTTTACTTGAACTAGAGGACTCGGTATTGAAAGGAATGAAGGAAGTTTCGACCGCGTTGGAGGGATCTCATGTCATCCAAGCAGGGCGTGAATGACAAATGAGCTTTTGGCTTTGCATTTGAACTTGGCTTGTCAGAGCAAAGAGCGCTACTGATTTTTGGGCTACGAACCTGATTCTACCATGATTTCTGATATCTGGATGACTCAATGGAACTTTGTAGCTGCGCTACAAGACCTGAGACTGCGAACGGCTCATATCCGGTTGTTGGGCTCTACTTAGTCCTTGCCTTAGCCGGGAGCCCTAAACCCCGACCCTAAAGCCTAAACCATACTAATCAACATCATGTTCATTACTGTTGTGTATTGGGGTTAAGTTTACGACAGATTAGTATTCGGTTTATGACTACAATGACCCTAAACCCTAAACCCTAAACCCTGTACTTACTACTGACCGTCTCATGGCGTGCCAAGGTGAGCGAGCGAACGACATGCATCAGTGAAGCAGATCGTGGGTTCCAGGCCAGAGAAGGCCACAGGAACCCTCTGCACGTGTTCAGAAGCAGGGGAAAAACGGTGGCCACAAACCTAAAGCGGGTTGCTGTTGAGGAACTTAATTTAAGTTACCATAATGGATATATATATATAGTAGTTAATAGGGTTTTGTCAAGCTAGTAACTTAAATTAGTTTCCTCAACAGCAGCCCGGTAAACCTAGCATACTTGACAAACGTTATTGTGATTACGAATACAACCAACTACACAGCACATCTCAGGTCCCGTATGCTTCTACCAGTCCGCATGCCGCTCGCTATAGCCGCCTGTTCTCTGTGCGGCCGTTGCATGTGGAAGCCAGCAGCTGCAAAGACCATCGAATTGAGCATTAGGCTACTACCAGCATTTCTTGGAGCTTTGATTGGCCAGAGGCTCCTTGCTTGACATGGCCGTTTTGTTATATCCTGGTCGGCCGAGCAGGGGAGTCCTCCTTCGCATTCGTGATTACCGCCAGCAAGCCCGCAGCTTGTAGCATACTTGGAGGCTTCAATTCCTGGTCTTGCACGGTCAGCTGCAGCAGACGTGTACTCTGCCCATGTGCAAGAGGCGGCGCATTGGTTCTTTCATTACTTACTGGTGCCAAGCATCAGCGTGGCTGTTTGCTGTGGCTGTGTCTGTTTTGCTTGGGGAATTGTGTCCGTTGTCCTACGTGGAGTACACCCAGCCGTGAAGTCCAATGACAACCCGGCTTGCTTACTCAATTCCCCTTTGTTGATTTGCACATTCCTGTCATTGGTTGCAACAACCGATGTGATTATGAGTCGGCTGTGAGCCTCCATGCAATAAGGGCTGAGGCAAAGCTGCACGAGGAACCTTGCTGTGAGTGAGTCACACACCTCTGGGCTTTTGATGTAGGGAGAACAGCAGGCGTTTGAGAATCCAAAACTCGGGATACTCCTTCTTGGGAACGATAGGCGAAGGGATACATGTGATTAGAGGATCCCTCTTTAAGGCCCTCACGTCATTGGATAAACTTGAGGTCAAATTTGAGGACTATCATGTCGTTTGCAACCACCTACTCAAAGGGGGAGAAGGTCATGCTCTTAAAGGTCATGCTTCGTGTGGTGTTTAACCTGTTCTTCGGCAATCGCAGAATTCAAGGTGCTTGTGTACAAGACTGCATGGTACGAGTTGTCTGGAGAGAGGAACCCTGAAACGGATCAGATGGGCCTATATAATCCCTCTGGAATCCCTATATAAACCCTAAATCCTAAACCCTTATGTTAATACAATCCCTATACAGACCCTAAATCGTAAACCCTATGATTCCCTACAACCCCCAATAAGTTAAACAGTCCTAAAGTCCGAGAAGTTTGGCCGCCCCTGCCTGTGGCCTCACAAAAAGACTCCTCAGAGTTGAGGGTGGGCCCATGCATGCTAGTGATAGTAAGAGTAATAGTAATGGTAGTAGTGGTGGTAGTAGTAGTAGTAGTAGTAATGGTAATCGCACCTACTTCAACAAACCGTAAACGCTGCACGCAATCCTCTGTCAGTTCATCACTTCGGAGGGAGAGTAGAGTTACAAACGAAGAGTTCATTCTATCGACAACTGCCGAACTAAGGAAGGAATCTTACTCGGCCGACGCGCCACATCAAACTTTCTGAGCTATCACCCAAACTTGCCGTTCATGTAACCTGCTTTCGGAATGTCATCATTTCTTGACTCCCTGGAGGCAGTTTAGGAAAGCTCGAGAATTTTGCGAAGCACCTGGAGCCCCAGGCGCCATTGTAGTTTTGTACAGCGATGTCATGCAGGTTTTATAGCACTGTCATCAGCAAGAACTGTAGCCCACGCTAGTAGCATTTTATTTGAGGATATTAGACTCCCCTATACACAGTAGGATTGCATAATCTCAATGGGTTCAAACAACCAAAAGCGCTGCTCAGATGGATGTGTGCCTCACTTCCAATGGCCTGGCTCTGTAATTACACACCGCAACCGCCTTGAGCCACAGGCGTCCTCTCAGATCTTCAAGTTTAAGGGTTTTTGGTTGACGGGTTAGGGTTTCTATGGGAGAAACCCTAGTCGTAACAAGATAATATAGGGGCCTAAATGGGGGTTTCCCAAAATTAGGGGTACCTTTTTGGGGGTCCCCATAATAAGGATCATAGTATATTTTGGGAAACTACCAATATGTTGGTTCCATATTCCTTATGTAGTTATGGTCTATGGTACCTCAAATGGACCTCAAAATGATATTGGTAACTATTTAGGCCCCAGTGGTAACATCCTGGAGCCGCTTCCAGACCCTAAACCCTCAACCCTAAGTCCTAAACCCCTAAACCCTAAATCCTTAACCCCTACTGAAATCTTCAGACTCTACAGCTGGCTCATTTACCTTGTGGCTTAGAGACCGTCCAGTGTCCTGGAGCAGGGCTTTAGGGATTGGGAATGAGAGTTTAGGGTTTAAGGGGCTAAGGGTTTAGGGTTTAGGGTTTAAGGGGTTTAGGGTTTAAGGGGTTTAGGGTTTAGGGGCTAAGCTTCGCAATCTCTTCATGAAGGTCCAAGAGCTTTAGATCAGAGTACTGGGACATTGTTGGCTAGAGTTTCTAAAGTCCAGTGAGTCACAACAAGTGCATGTTGATGAGGTATCCCGCAAATTGCTACCCCAAACCCTAAACCCTATATTTAAAGTGAGAATCAAGGAAGGCAATAGAGGGATTCTTGTTGCGGAGCATCTCCGGACTACTGTAAAAAATGTTTTCCTCCAGGCCCCATTGAATATAGTAAGTCCACTGCTTCTGAAAGTGGTGCTTGAGGTCTCGGGCTTCGGGTCTAAGTCTTTACATTTAGGGCTTACACTGGCAAATGGCTTGTGAAATATGTATGATCATCCGAAGTAGCGCTCAATGTGGCGGAGTGTCTCAGAACAGTTCGATCTGGCATTTATACTGGTGTGATCTAATATGACTCCATGTGTTCGGTTCCAGGTCTTCTACTAGAATAAGGTTTGCCGAGAATGGCAAAATATGTGATCGGAAGTACTTGAAGCTGCTAGTGAGCAGCAAGGCTATGAGTGCCCACAAGTATGCCCATGACCATTTTCAGCTGGAGTTATCCCCTAGGAACCTCGAGGCTCTAAGAAGCGCAGATTAGGTCTGTCATGAATTCCCATAATAGGGTGGCCCTAGTATAGACAGACTATGACCCTAAACCTAAACACTAAACCCTAAACCGTATGAGTGTGGATTATACGCTTTACCCTAAAACTTAAATCGGACTTCTCATTAGTGTTCGAATCGGAGGAATGGCCTGAGTTGAGCTTCACATCCTACTGCTTGAGGCAACTTGCAGAGGGTGAGCCTGGCGTTTCCTGAAGATGGTTGAAACTGAAAAAGAGGGTTTAGGGTTTAGGGTTCATTTACGGCTCAGGGGTTTAGGGTTTAGGAGTTTAGGGTTTAGGGCTCAGGG